TGCTGGATTGGGTGTGGCGGACGCGTGCGAACTGCGCCACTGGGACCTTCGGTGGAGCTCCCTGTGAGGCCACGGAACTTTTGCGGGGTGTGCCGAAATGGTTGGCGGGGATGCATGCGAACTGCGCCACTGGGACCTTCGGTGAAGCTCCCTGTGAGGCCACGAAACGTCGTCATCATCATCATCAGCAGCATCATCATCAGACTCACCATCATCGTCATTACCATCATGCTTAGCATCAACATCATCATCGTCATAAGCATCATCATCATCATCAGCATCAGCATCAGCATCATCACCATCACCATCACCATCACCACCACCATCACCATCGCCATCACCATCACCATCACCATCATCCTCCTCCTCCTCCTCCTCCTCCTCCTCCTCCTCCTCCTCCTCATCATCATCATCATCATCATCATCATCATCATCATCATCATCATCATCATCATCATCATCATCATCATCATCATCCAATGGAGGCGACGCCGACAAGCGAACCCGCAAGGGCCTTCAGTGGAGTCCCCCTGGGGCCACGAATCCTGTGAGGGGCGTATTGGGTGTGGCGGACGCATGCGGGCACCCTCACTGGGGCCACAGGTGGAACTCCCTTTGGGGCCACGAAGCGCTGTTCTGAGTGTGGCGGACGCATGCGGACACCCCCACTGGGGCCTTGAGTGGAGTTCCCTATGAGGTTACGGAACGCTGCACTGTTTGTGGCGGCCGCATGCGACCACCTTCACTGGGGCCTTAGGTGGAGCTCCCTGTAAGGCCACGAAACGAGTGAGGGGTGTGACGACATGGGTGTGGCGGACGCATGTGGCCACCCCCACTGGGGCCTTGGGTAAGCTCCCTATGAGGCCACGTAACGCTTCGCTGGGTGTGGCGGACGCATGTGCCCACCCCCACTGAGGCCTTACGTGGAGCTCCCTATGGGGTCACGAAACGCTGTACTGGGTGTGGCGGACACATGTGGCCACCCCCACTGGGGCCTTGGGTGGAGCTCCTTATGGGGCCACGAAGCGCTGCACTGTTTGTGGCGGACGCATGTGACCACCCTCACTGGGGCCGCAGGTGGAGCTCCCTATGGGGCCACGAAACGCTGTACATGTTGTGGCGGACGCATGCGGGCACCCCCACTGATGTGGCGATGACGACAACGATGACGATGGCGATGATAATGATGATAATGATGATAATGATGATACTGATGATGATGGTGATGCTGATGATGATGATGATGATGATGCTGATGCTGATGATGGTGATGATAATGACGATACTGATGATGCTGATGATGATGATGATGATGGTGATGATGATGGTGGTGATGATGCCGCTGATGATGATGGTGGAAGGAGTGAGGAACGCGGGGCACTGTCTCTTCAAAACGAGGACCCAACCAACACCACAAGAAAGTTCGGAATTATCCTGGCGAAAGACCCAACCATATGCAGATGTGGGTACCGCAATTGTGAATATCTTCTTCGGTGGAGCCCCCTATGGGGCCACGAAGCGCTGTACCGGGTGGGGGGGGAACGCATGCGGGCGGTAGCACTGGGGCCGTCGGTGGAGCTCCCATATGGGGCCACGACGCGCTGTACTGGGTGGGTGGAACGCATGCGAGCAGTAGCACTGGAACCTTGGTGTGGGGAACGCATGCGGGCGGTGGCACTGGGGCCTTCGGTGGAGCTCCCTCTGGGGCCACGAAGCGTGTGAGGGGTGTGCCAAGTTTGGTTATCGGAACGCATGCGGGCGGTAGCTCTGGGGCCTTCGGTGGAGCTTCCTGAGGGGCTACGAAGCGTGTGAGGGGTGTGCCAAATTAGGTTTTCGGAGCGCGTGCGGGCGGTGGCGCTGGGGGCCCTTGGTGGAGCTGCTTATGAGGCCACGAAACGTGTGAGGGGCGTGCCAAATTTGGTTTTCGGGACGCATGCGGGCGGTAGCACTGGGGCCTTTGGTGGAGCTCCCGATGGGGCCACGAAGCGTGTGAGAGGTGTGCCACATTGGGTTTTCAGACGCATGCGCGCGGTGGCACTGGGGCCCGGATTGGGCCACGAAGCGTGTGAGGGGTGTGCCAAATGGTGTTTTCGGGACGCATGCGGGCGGTGGCACTGGGGCCTTCGGTGGAATGGAGCGCCGAAACGCGTGAGGGGGTTGCAAAATTTGGTTTTCGGGACGCATGCGGGCGGTCCCACTGGGGGCTTTGGTGGAGCCCCCCATGGGGCCACGAAGCGTGTGAGGGGTGTGCCAAAGTGGGCTGTCGGAACCCATGCTGGCGGTGGCACTGGGGGCCCTTGGTGGAGCTCCTCATGAAGCCATGAAGCGTGTGAGGGGTGTGCCAAATTGGGCTCTCGGGACGCATGCGGGCGGTGGCACTGGGGCCCTCGGTGGAGCTCCCTATCTGGGCCACGAACCGTGTGAGGGGTGTGCCGACAGGGGTGTGGGGGACGCATGTGGGCGGCTGGGCGCTGTCTCTTCAAAACGAAGACCCAACACCACAGGATGGATGGGACAGACATAGAGATAAGGCGGAAGCGGAGGAAGAGGAGGAAGAGGAGAAGTAAGATGAGGAGGATAAGCAAGGAGAGGAGGACGTCACAGAGCACGCCGAGCATTCACAGACGCACGCGCCACTTGCCTCGCGCCCGCGCCCGCGACCCCAAAGGGACCCCACAGCCCCCCACGTTCTCCTTCACGCCCCCCGGTGAACTCGCCAGGGTGCAGAGCAGAACCGCCTCCGTCCGAAGCCAGCCCAGCCGCGGCGCCGAGGGCCGTGGCTGCGATGACGACGACGATGGCGACGGCGATGTCGTCGTCATCGTCCTCGGCATCGCGAGCGCGGTCCTGGGCAAGAGGAGCTTCTGGTGCGCGGCTCTGGAGGGGTCTCTGGGGTCCGAGTCCAGGCGCACAAGGGGAGTGCGCAGGGGGGGGGGGGCTCGTGGGCCCGCGACAAGGGCCGCTCGGGCGAAGGGCCACTCTGGGGCGAAGTCGAGAAATCGAGAAAGGGTAACGCCGTCGGGATTATGTATTACGACAGCGCAGCGCTAACAGCCCCCAAAAATATAGACCCGCGAAAAGGGGCCTCAAAACGTGGACCCGCGCAAGGGGGCTCAAACATAGACCCCGACCAAACAGACCCTGAAATGTCCATCCCCGCGAGACCTGAGCACCCTGAATTGTAAACCCCGACCTGAAGAGGCTCGAAATGTACAGTGCGGGCGCGGTCGCACGAAACCCTCACAAGAAACCCAACCCTGGAAACCCGCGCGCGAGGTGCGCCTGAGGGAAAAACCCGAGCATCCTGAACGGATCAGCTTCTTTGACGGCCGCGGGAAGTCACCGCGCAGCGCGCGGAACGAAGAAACCCAGGGTACAGTCGGGGCCTTGTCCTAAGGAACCCTAAATAAGGAACGAGGCCCCTTTTTTCCATAAGTTAACCTTCGATTTCCCATCGAAACCCTAAGCAAACCCCAAGGCAAACTGTAAAACAATCAAGGAACACCGAGCCCCTCCCCAACGAAAAGGGTTCCTTCTCCAGGGCCCCGACTGTATACTGGCGAAGCTCAAATGGTTTCTTGAGGCGCGCCCCCGCTGTAGACCGCGCGCGAAGAGCGGGGGTCTCTACCCCTGAGGGGGAGGCTCCGGGCAGGCGTGCCTTTCTCAAGGGCAAAAACCGACCGAGAGACCACGGCGGCTCTCTCCCGCCCGGGCCCGCCATCTGGTCGAGATCGCTCCCGGGGCCCCTCCCCAAAACAGGGCTAGGATCGGGATAAATCGCTCCAGAGCGTTCCGGAGCGCTCTCAGGGCGTTCCGGAACGCTCTGAGAGCGGCCGCGGCGCTCGATACGTCCTCCAAACCCGCCGATTCTCAGAGATTTCGAGTCATCCCGATCCGATTTTGTCCCGATCTTCGCGTCGTTTTACTCCCCGGGGTGCCCACCCGGGCCCGCACCTCGAGGCTGCTCCAGTCACGGCGAGGAGAAGCCCCCAGAAGGCCCACAAAGGAACATCGCCAGGGATTGCGCTCCCCATGATCTCGACCAACCCTCCTCCGCATCTGTGCTATCGGCATTGTGCTTTGACGTGCTTTTGACGATTCACGATGACGCCCGTCACCGGGACACCAAGTCCAATTCCCCTCTCGGGTAACGTCACGATTAGAGCCGAAGCCGTCTGGGAATAGCTGGGGGCACCTACTTCCCAGACTGCGTTGGCGCGAATCGTGACGTCACAAGCCCCCTGCCACCCTATCCGCCCTTCCCTCCAGTAACAGCCAGTAACTTGCCAAGGGCTCTGCGATCGCAATACAACATAATAATCAATGCTTCTTTAGACTCCAGCAAGTCTACTGGCATGGAGCGGGAGGGGTGGCGTGGCGAGGCCCGGAAAGAAATCATAACTGAATTCAAGTCGGGACCCACTTGCCCGCCCTTTCATTTCGCCGCTATTTGGAATGGCGGCGGAGACAGGGGGGAGGAGGCGAGGTGCCATGCAAGTAAACTTTCAAGAAACATCATAAACCAACCCTCGCATTTCTACAGACTGGAATGTGGGCATTTGTTGTTGCAATCGTGCGAGGAACATCGGCGTGCACATCAATTTTCAGAGGACTGTGCGGACATCTCGCATCTGTGCTCAACCCCCCTCTCTGGCGCGCGGAGCGCGCCAGGGGCAGCGCCCTACTTGCCGCCAGACGCTTTCAGCTCAGATCCCAGAAATCCACACGGAGCACTGAACGTTTGTGTTGAAATTGTGCAGCTCTCCACTCTTCGATATCTGTGCAGTGTTCATCCCATTTGGCCACTTGTGGCACGTGCGACCCACCTGTTGGCCAGGCTGGGCCAGCTATGATCCTCCAACCTGGCGTCCGCTGATGCTCCCCTCTCCCCTCAGAGCCCGGCGAGGAGGCAAGCATGTTCGCCCACTCTGGCCTCTGACCCGCGTCCTCCAGCAGCTTCACGAGCTCTGGCGCACCCTTGTCCTCCGAGGACCACAATGTCAGGGCGCGCCCCGTCTTGCCCGCGCGTCCAGTGCGTCCGACGCGGTGGACGTAGTTCTCCACGGCGACGCCCGCGGGCTGTCTGGTATTGCTGGCCGGGCAGTGCCACGGGGGGGCGCCGCCACGCTTTTCCGTCGCCGACGCGGAGCTTGGGAAAGAAGTCGTCTTTGTGCGGTACACACTTGTATCCACATCCACTGCGTCTTGGACATTCGGGTTCCCTCCCCCAGAAACCAAGAGGCGCAACGGATACGGACTCCAATCTGGCCCCTGGATGCCAGATCCGTGTCCGTGTCCACCGCCTCACCCCTGCGGCGCCCATTCCCAAAGGTCCAGGACGCAGTGGATAGAGCTAGACATCTTGGCCGCACTTCAGTCCTGCAGGTTTCTGCGACTCGGGATTTCCAGCAGCCACGCCTCGTCGGGAGCCGGGTGCCCGGATCGCCCCAAGTGGCGGCCCCAAGCCTCGGCGATGCCCCGAGAACTGGGGGGCGCCGAGCACCCAGGCATCTAACGTCTGTGACCCTCCACAGGTCCGAATGCATCAATCAAGGCTCGAGCAAAACGACATGGTCCGCTGTCGATTCGTTGTTGTTATCCCTCGTTCTGTCTTCGTTTCGCTGTTGCTGCACAGCGAACTCAAAACGAAAACGGTCCACGAATTTGCCAACACAGCGTTTGGATCGATCCCTGGTATTCATATGCACCGCCTGTCGAGGTCCTCGGAGATTGATCTCCCAGGCGGCGGGTACGGATAACTGCCCATCTCGGAGCAATGGGGTCGCCACCTGCTCGCGGAAGCGAACACGGGGCGTCTTCGGTTATGCTCCGTTTCGATACTTTCGCTCTTACCTCGACCAACGCGCGTTACACACGGCACCCCGGAACGTGGGCGTCAGGCCCGCTGCGTTGCGATGTCGACAAGCGGATGGAAAGCGCCATGAAGACGGAACGAACACAAGCAGGTGGGCTAACGGTCGCTCCCAGACCTGAAACCGTAACAGAACAAACGCCCAAAACGTGTGCAGAAAGTTGATTTTCAAAGCGGGGGGAGGAAAAAAGTACCCTGAACCTCAGAGCCCTGGACCCCCGCAGAGCCTCTCCAGAACTCCCAGAGACGGAGAGAAAAACGCCCAGATCAGCTGCCGCAGCAACGGCGGGGGTGGGGCGAAGAATCACGAACCCACTCTCAAGAATATTGAAGGGCGCCCAGGACACACAAATAAATACACACAAATAGAAATATTCCCCATAGTTTCCCATATTTTCTGGGTTTTTGTCTTCCCCCCCACTTCCCATATTTTCCAATATGTTCTGGGAATCGCCGATTAATTGTGTCTGTGTTTCTTTTCCTCCTGAGATATGCTGACCTGGGTCGATCCAAACTCGGGTCACTCAGGCCTTTCAAGATCCTGCAGAATCCTGCACGCTAGCCCGGGTCAATGCAACCCTGGCTCCGCAGGAACAAGACCTGGCGCTCTGACTGACCCCCGTTTGCATTGACCCCGTCTCAAGGCCCCCGACGCTCCCTCGCCAGGCAGATGCCAACGACGACGGCGATGATGACGATTGCTCCCAATTAGTCTTTTGCGCGCGACAGCGGGGGGAGGATCCTCGGCCCGCTCTCGTCCTCGACCCCGCGCTGTCCAAGAACACGCGGTGACCCCCTGCAGCACGACCCAATCAGAAGGATGCGGGGCTGAGGGTGAAAGGCCTTGCGTTGGACGCCCGAGCTGAAAGCCGAAGTTGGAATCCCATGGCCCACAGCTGAGTGCCGGGATGGGCCGAGGACCGAGAGGCAGGGATGCGATGGCACCCTTGAAATGCTGATCATCTCAGTGATACGGTCCGACCGTGGTGTTGACACTCCGCCTCCGACGAATCGATCCGACGATCCGTCGATGCTTTCAATTCCAGCAATTTTGCTATGAGTCGGTTTCCGGGGCACATGTTTGTCGAATCGAAATCCAGAGATCCGATATCTTGCTTTCTCTACGGGATCCCCGGAAGTCTCGACCCCTTCACCAAAACCGGCATAAGTCTCGACCCCATCACAAGGACCAGCATGTTATCCTGAGCTATGTTTTGCTCACACTCCTTTGCTAAACCACCGCCTTGATTTGTTCCATCCGTTCGAGGTCTGCTTGGATCGGCGCGGGGGCGTTTAGGGGACAGGGGAGGGACAAGTGCATGATAAGGTGAGATATACCCTGCCTGATCAAACTTGTAAGTCGGTGCAGATGCCCTAAACAACTCACGGTGGTTGCGATCCGGGCAAACTGGGCTCCGCCCACTTGGCGGAGTTATCTGAAGCCCACGCGCTTTGGGCACTTGACATACCACAGCTTAGCATGCACTTGTGACCGCCAGATCCCCTGGGCAGCCCTCGCGCGGATCCAAGGAGGCTCGAAATCCCACCAGCCCTCTGGGCGTAGGTGGTTCCGGGAGTTTCCTCTTCCAACCTCCTTCATTCCCTTCGGGGAAGGGTTTAACCCCAGGAAGCATTTAAGAACCCCCCCCCTCCGGCAAATCGATAACCCTTCCGCACCCTGGAAGCGTTACCTGGCACCAGGAGCCCTCCTCCTTCCTCTCCTCCCATCTCCCTTCCAAGTTCGTCCTCCTCATCCTCCTCCTCCTCCTCCTCTCCTCCACCCACGAACTTCCTCCTGCCCCCTCCTGGTTCTGGTTCTGGTTGAGGCGCACCCAGGTGGGGCGCGTTGGTGCCGAAGCCCCGGGCAAAGGGCAGGCATGAGCAGTCCCGAGTAGGGCGCTGGCAGTGGGGCAAGTGCCCGGCGCGCGTGCCCGCTCCCAGGGGGGCCGGGTGTCGCTTCATGCGAGACAGTTATAGGGGCCCCCTGGGAGCCGCGCCTGCCACGCCACCAAATGGCGGAGCGCCAGTGCGCGAGCGCGAGTGCGCGTGCTGCCAATTGGCGGCAACGAAACAGGGAACCTCGTCGTCCTCCACCACCCCGCCACAGCTCCACCACCACCAGCCAGGCGAGGGAAAAGGGGAGAGGGAGGAGGGCGGCGGGAGGAGACGCCCCGGGGGGGGGGCAGCAGGGAGGGCGACAGGACGACGGCGACGACAGGAGACGACGAGGGCGACGCCGACGAGAAGCAACGGCGACGACGACGACGACGGCGAGGGCGACGAAGACGAAGGCGACGGCGACGAAGACGACAACGACGGCGACAGCGGCGGCGAACGCAGCGACGACGACGACAGCCAAGGGACACGCAACGCGCATTTCCAGAAGCGAAAAAAGGAAGCGAGTGCCCGGGGCGCGCGCGGCTAGCCCCGGGGCCGGCGGCCGCGCTCTGCGCTCCGGGAGCGGCAGGAGGAGCTCAGGCGGGGGCGGCGGCGGCGGCGGGAGGCAGCGGCCGGGGGCGCCCCCGCAGCCTCAGGGCGACGACGACGACAACGACGACGACGACGACGACGACGACGACGACAAAGGCGGCGACGGCGGCGGCGGCGGCGGCGGCAGCAGCGGCGGCGGCGGCGACGGCGGCGGCGGCGGCGGAGGCGGCGGAGGCGGCGGCGGCGGCGGCGGCGGCGGCGGCGGCGGGAGGCCCCGGCCGGGGTGGCAGCAGCAGCAGCCGTCGGAGGGGCAGCGGCGGCCAGGCCCGTGGCGGCAGCAGGAGCGTGGAGGGCCAGCGCGGGCGGCGCGCCCAGAGCGCTGGGCGGGGGCGGAGGCGCCGCGGCGGCGTGGGGCCGGGGCTGGTTCCCAACCCAGGGGACGGTCCACGCAAGCACTGCTTCGAGGAGCCGCTCTCGGACCTCCGTGTTGCCGGCGATGGTCAATTTGGCTTGCCGGAGCCAAAAATTGATCACCCCGCCGCCGCCGAGCGGACGGAGCGCCAAGCCGATCCGGGCCCCGCTGGTGCCAAAGAGCCAGAATGCCTGGCGGGAGTCGGTGTAGAGCCCGCAGGCGGCAGCCAACTGAAGGACCTCTTGCTCTGTGAGCGCGCGCCCGTCAGCACGCGCAGGGAGCCCGCGGCGGAAGCGGGCGCTACCGGGGTCAGCGCCGGCGTAGCGCCGCGAAGAGCCGGAAGGCGCGGGAGGCTGCTGGGGCTGGTGCTGCGCCTGCGCCACCGGCAAGGAGACGGACGATGAGGGCGGGCCGCTGGGCGAAGGCAGCACGGGCGCCGCCGGCGGGGGGCCAGACGACGGGGGCGGGCAGCACGGCCGCCCGGAACTGGCCGGCGCAGGCGGAAGAGGCTGGGGCGCGGGCATCCCCAGCGACGCAGGCGGCGGGCCAGAGGAGGACGCAGCGGGGCCGCCCAGAGGCGGAGGGGCGGCGGGCGGATTGCGCCACGGGGGAGCGGCCTGCGACGCCGGTGCCAGGCCCAGGCTGGCCCCCGCAGAACCGCTCGAGCTGCCGCCCGCTGCGCCCGCAGCCCAGCGCAGACTTGCGGCACGGAGGGCAGCAGCGGCACCCTGTGCAGAGCCCCCGTACACCGCCGCCAAGGCCTCGGCGACCAAGGGGTCCAGGTAATTGGCCCCGAGCAGGAGGGTGTGGACCACCTCTGCAAGGCCCACGGGGCGCGCCAGCCGCCCGAGGAGGGCAGCGGCCGCCAAGGCCGCAGGCGCGGCGTGCCCGGGCGCGGCGGCAGCCAAGGACTGCAGAGCAAAAACGTGATCCGAGGAGGGCGCCGCCGATGCTCCCACGAGCTCTTGCACCAGGCCAGCGAAGGGCGGACCCATGGACGCATGGGCGAGCCAGCCTGCCAAGGTCTCTGCCGGTAGGAGGCCGACCGCGGCCAGGAGCGCCGGCGAGTAGGCCGAGTTGCAGACGCCAGGGTGCGAGGGCAAAGTGCGCGCAGCTGCCGCCGCCAGCAGTGAGCTGAGAGGCCCCTCGCTGCATGCCGCGTCGCCGCTGCAGTGCGGGGCGCCAGGCGAAGCCGGAGGCGCCGGTGACAGAGGCGAGCCAGGCGCCGCCGACGACGACGACGACGACGAGCTGGACGAGGGCAGAGCAGCGGCGTTCAGGAAGGCCCCGAAGACCGGCGGCGGCGGCACGGGGACCGCTGCTGGCTCGGCCGGCACACGGCCAGGGGTCATTGCAGACTCGGCGGGGAGACCAGGGAGGCCTGGGACAGTCTCCGCCTCAGGATCCACCTGCGCAGGGGCACCAGTGGGAGGCACGAGGGCCGCACCGGCATCTGGCCCCGCCGGCCCGCTGCCGCTGGGTTGGGTCCCGCCTGTTTGGACACCCGAGATAGGTACCGAAAGAATGGGAACAATGCCCAACAACAAAGGCAGACACAAAAACCCACAGCGGCCGCTGTAGGGCAGGCGGCCAGCAAACGCAAAAAAGACAAAGGCCGCGGCGGCGAGGACAGCGAACCCAGCTCAGAGGGAACAGGAACTGCTGTTGGGCATCATTCCCATGATTTCCGTGCCCATCTCGGGCGTCCAGAGCCTGTGCCCGCCGCAGCAGTGCACGACGGGCTGGAGCACTGCGAGAACGCCTCGAGCAGACGGGCGCGACCCTTGGCATCAGCTTCGAGCACGCGGGCACGCTCTTTGGCCTCAGCCTCCTGCTGGGCCTGGGCGAGATACACGATGCGCTCCAAATCCGACAGGCCTGCCCACTCAGCACGGACCAGCCCTTCATATACATGGTTGGCGGCCTGGCCGGCGGCAGGAGCACTCGACACCGCCTCCAACCAAAGTTGATGCAACCGCCCACTGGCCCGCAACTGGGAGCGGAAGAGAACCAAAGCCTCCTTCTCGTGCGGCGCACGCTTCGGAGCAGCAGCGCACGGCCCAGGCGCCATGGCCAGGGCGAGTACGAGTAGTATCTTAGGCATCGATGGGGGCATCAAGATGCCGGGAAAGGCGAAACGTCAAGACACAACTACAGCTTGACAGCGAAGCGGCTGCAGCGAACCGGGAAGTACAAGCCTCACGTAAACAAGACAAGCGAACACTAGCGCAGACCCTCCGACACGAAGCAAACACACCTACGCCAAGGCGACACAAAACGACGAGGCAGGAGAAAGCGTGGACGACACAACACACACGCACCTCGGCACCGGCAACCTGCGCACCTCGAGCGGACCAGAAGACACCCCTCGGACAGACACGGCAACCCACCCCGCAACCCAGAACAAGGCAACACGCGTGGGCGCCCCAGGCACCTCCCGGGGCGCGTCCAGACCAGGACAACGAGGCGAGACCGGCAGCGGCGACGAGGGCGACCCAGGAGGCCCCCCAAAAGAGAAAACGAGGGCAGAGTAGAGGCAAGGGCACGTGATCCTCTGCGGAGCACCTGCCCCGACCTCGGTGAGCCTCAGAACGCGCGCCAGCGCCCACCGTGCGCTCGCCCGCCAAGGGCCCTCGAGAGCTGCACGGGCGGCGCGGGGAGGGCCGCAGCCGGCGGCGCTCCGTCGGCGGCGTCAGGCGAGGGGTAAACTCGCTTGGCTGGCACGGGAGACCCCTGAGGCAGAAACATCGTCACCACAAGGGTGCACAGGCTTTACAACCACCGGCTTCCGCAGGCACGGCGCAGGCAACCGCAGGCGCGGCCACCCAGGACAGCACCGCGGGCAGCCGCCGCCTTCCGCCGAGGGGGAGGTGCAAGCGCCTTCGATCCTAGGAGGCGAGGCCCAGTCTGGAGCGCATCGCATGGGGCAGACACACGTCCTGGGGAACTGCGACGAAAAACCCTCTTCGCCCGACCCGACACAACAGCGAGAGCAATTTCTCTCGCACACACATTTGCTGTCAGGGAGGCGCAAGCACGATGTACCCAGCCCGAGGGGCGGGGACACCGAAGCGGGACCGGGAGAGAGTCGAGTGCACGGGGGGCACAGGTGAGGGACGAGCAGGGGAGAAGAGGGAAGAGGAGAGAGGGTGACCGAGCATAACGGTCTGGACGTTCTTCCGCCCACGGTGGGCACAACAAAGCAGCTTCCTTCCAATCGCCAGGAGGAAGAGAAGGAGGAGGAGGAGGAGGAGGACGAGGAGGAGGACGAGGAGGAGGACGAGGAGAAGGACGACGACGACAGCGACGACGACGGGAGGACGAAGGGAGACAAAACATTATTCACAGGCGACACTCAAGCCTCCGCAATCCCCCGGAGCAGCCAGAACTGCCCCGCCGCGCGGTCCAGCTCTGCGAGCAGGAGCACCAGCTCGCAGTAGCCCGGCTGGCCGGGCGCCAGCCGCAGCATGTACGCCAGCGCCCTCTCATCCTCCTCCTCTTCCTCCTCCTCCTCCTCCTCCTCCTCCCCCTCCTCCCCCTCCTCCTCCTCCTCCTCCTCCTCCTCCTCCCGCGCCAAACGCTGGAGGAGGAGGAGGTGGAAGGGGCAGGGGGGGCGCAGGAGGAGCAGCCCCCCCCCAGCGGCCTCAGGAGACCCTGCGGCGCTGGAAGCTTGCGCCGCGGCACTCAGGCCGACCCGGGTCAGGAGGACAGACAGCGTTCACAAGCGAGTCATGGAAGCTCACCGGTCAACGATGACCAGCAAGTTCGAAGAGCTTCAGGCACAGGTCAGACTGCTCCAGGGCGCCACGGAGGCAGAGGTGGCGCAGGAACGAGCAGCGACGCGCAGGGAGCAGGAAGAGGAGGCTCAGCGGCTCAGGGACTTGGTTGCCAGGCGTTCCTCTCAGGCATCGTCAGTCTGGGGTGAGTATGGTGTTCTCGGAGCGGCTGCAGGAGCTGCAGGAGCGGCTCAGGGAGCTGCAGGCGCCGCCTCAGGCGCCAAAGGCTCTCCTTCAGGAAAGGCTACGGCAGCCAGCGCCTCAGAGGCTCAGCGAGAGGAGTGGCGTAAGGTCGGCATCCAGGGTAAGGAGCACGGTCAGAAGGGCGCTCAGTACGGCAGGCTCGGCGGCAGGCCGCCGAAACAGTCGGATGAGGCAGCCTCAGAGCTGCCAGACGCAGTCAACAGGGTTCTCAGGACAGGCGATCATCAGAAGCTGCCTCAGCTCGGGCATAAGCTGAAGGCTGCTCAGTTCATAGAGGAGAAACTTCAGGCAGCGGGGTTCGTTCAGAATCAGGAGCGCAGTAATCAGCCGACGGACGCTCAGTGGGCGAGCATCAGGGATCTCTTCGGAAAAGGCTGGCGGCGCAGCGAGGGGGGCAGAGGGGCGGGAGGGGAACTCTTCAGAAAGCTGGCTGTTTTCTCTCAGGATGTTTAAAAAACTAATTTTCAGAGAAAGGCTGTCCTGGGATTTCGCCTCAGGAGAATAACGCATTGATATCCTAGATGGAGAATAGTAATCATATGGAGGAATTTTGTCTCAGAACTGCTGGGGAATCCTGGGCAATCTGCGAGAAAGGTTGAAGAATCTTTCGGATTCCCAGTGATCCTCAGGAATGCTTGTTTTCCTATTGCGGAGGAGAGTCCAGAACGATCTTCTGGGCTCTTCTGAGACGCCCAAGGGATCTCAAGCAGACTGCTTTCTAAGGGTCCCCCTTCCATCTCTCAGGTCTCTTTCGGGCGCCGCCGATGAGGCGTGAAGACCAGACAACTCGTCAGGATCTATCAGCAGAAGTCCCAGGTTGAGCAGGCCCTTCAGAAGCTTCGGCTCGGTAAGTCAGGCGGCGTGTTCAGTAGGCGCAGGAAAAAGCAGGGCGTTCAGGGCAGCAGCACATGCAAAGGCCACAGGCTCATTCAGAGAAACGCCAGCGATAATCCTTTGGCGTCAGGGAAATCAGGGAAGCGAAGTCTCCTCAGGCTGGTGTTCGATCAGGTGTATCAGCAGTTCTTGGAGTGGCGCAAGAGCGGTCAGTACGTGGATCAGTCAGATCTGTTCGTGGAGTACTGCCATCAGGCCGACGTGATCAGGAAACAGTTAGAGGCTCAAAGGACCCCAGACAGTTGGCTGCCCAGCAAGCAGGCTCAGCTTCTTCAGGAGATCGATAAGCGAGCAGCAGCTCACGAAAGGTCAAAGAAGATGATCCAGTACACCACTGATTTCATCAGGGGTACGTATGGCATCAGGCTGTACAAACCTCAGCGTCTCCTGTCCATCAGCTTGGAGGAGGAGGAGAGGCGAGCTCTGCATGGGTGGTGGAGCTTCGATGAGGCCCTCACGGTGGCCTGCATCAGTCCTGTCAGCGAGCTCGAGGATCTCGTCGCAGACCCTCAGGGCTGCAGAGATGGCGTTGAGAACCTCGTCATCTTCATGTCGGATCAGGTGCCGATGTGGCTGAAGATCAGCCCAGGTAAGCAATTTTATGCGGCTTTCGAGGTTCAGGAGCAGGCGAAGAAGCCGGAGGATACCTCTTGCCAGGCACCTCAGAGCCAGCAGCTTGCAGAGGTCGACAACGAGGAGACCGATCAGGAGAACAATGAGGGCATGACACAGCTCAGAGGCGAGCAGTCATCCGACCAAGCCAAGTTCAGGATCACCGTGGATCTTGAGCAGAGGGTGCACGGCTGGTGCTCTGAGTCAGCAGATCCTCAGTTTCAAGTTGGCACTACGTCAGTTGTGTTCACGGGCGCGCACTGCAGGCTGAGCAACATGTCGGAGGAGGGCAGATGGATTGAGACTGAGAAGTTCGTTGTGAACGGTAAGGAGATCATCAGGCTGGCTGGGAGGCAGGTGCCAGAGAACTTCGCTCAGTCCTTGAGGGCCTTGAGGCCTGGAACTGGTCAGCGCGCGCACTCGCGCTCGCATTTCGCGAGCAGGAGCTTCAGAAATCTTTGGGAATCCCTGGGGATTCTCAGAAACCTCTACAACTAATTTACTGAGGGTCTCTGGGAATCCTAGGGTTCCTTCGACATCCTTAGGGATCCTGAAGAATCCCAAGGATTTCAACAGATTCTTCAGGAATCAACGGAAATTCTGATGAATCTGCGGGAATCCTCGGAATCCTCAGGGCCCCTCAGGAGTCCGTCGGAATCCTTGAGAATGTAATGGAATCCTCACGAAGCCTTCGGAAATCATAATTAGCAATCTTTGGGAATGCTTAAGGATCAATGGGGCTCCTTGGGAAATCCTGGGAATCCTTACGAATACTTAGGAACCAACAGAAATCCTTGGGAGTGCTTAGGAAACCTTGGGAATGCTGAGGAAGTCCGAAGAATCCTTCGGAATCCTTACAAGTTCCGGAGGAATATTTGGGACATCTGAGGCATCCTGAGAAATCCTTGGGAATTCCGAAGATTCCTAAGGAATCGGCAAGCATCCTTCCGAATTCTCAAGAAATCGTTGGAATCCTTCGGAATCCTTCGGAATCCTTCAAAATCCTTCGGGACCTCAGGATATTTTTCCGCGGCACAGGGTGTTGTTTTCTGTGGTCGGGGTGCTAAGATAACGCCACGGTGCGGGGTGGGTGGGATACCCTCTCGTGGACCTCCCCCTAGGACGGCCGACGAACATCAATTTCTCGAAGGGCTTTGCACTAGAAATCTCATCGAAAAAAACATTTACCAAAAGACAGAAAAAGCAGGAGGAGGAGAAGGAGGAGGAGGACGAGAAGGAAGAGAAGGAGGAGCAGGAGGAGCAGGATAATCATGAGGAGGTGGAGGAGGAAACGAAAAACAACGCTTAGCAGTTCTTTAAGAACCTGAAGATTTGTTCAGAGTTCCTTAGGAATCTCTTGGAATCTGGCAGATTTCGTAAAAAATCCTCGGGGATGCTTAGGATCCCATAGCAATCCTATGGAATCCTTCGGAATTCGTAGGAAGGCTTCGGAATGCTCAGGAAGGCTTGAATAGAAATCCTTTGGGGGCCTTCGGAACCGTCGGCATTCTTAGGAATCTTTTAAATTCTTAGGAATAGAACTGGGTTGTTTTTTTTCGCGTGGCCGGGTGCTAAGACAACGCCACGGTGCGGGGGGGGGCGGAAGTTCCTCTCGTGGACCCCCCCCTAGGACGGCCGATGCAAATCAATTTCTCGAAGGGGTTTGCAATAGAACTCTCTTCGGAAAAGATAAAGAATCAAAACGAAGAAAAAGAGGAAGAGAAGGAGGACAAGGAAGAGGAGGAGCAGCAATAAGAGGCGAAGGAGAAGGAGAAGGAGGAGAAGGAGGAGGACGAGAAGAGGGGAAGGAGGAGCAAGACAAGGGACATGAGCAGGAAAAGCAGGAGAAGCAGGAGCAGGAAAAGCTTCTTTGGGAAGGGTCCTCAGCAGGTCTCTCAGAGAGGCCCCCAAGCAGGCCTCTCAGACCTCCGAAGCAGACCTCTGAGCAGGTTCCTAAGCAGGCCTTAGCAGACGCAGGCCTCTGAGCAGGCTCCTGAGCAGGCCTCTAAGCAGGCTCCCAGGCAGGCCTCTTAGCACGCCTCGACGCAAGGGTTTCAGTCTCTCTGAAATTTCTGAGCCCCTCCATAGCTCAATTCAGGAGATTCATGTTGGCGCGAAGGCTCAGGCTCAAGCTTCAGGCTTCCACCTGCAGCGGCACTGTCAGACCTATCTTCTCGGGCAAACTTCAGGCCTATCTTCTCAGGCAATGCCAGACAGCGAGAACAGCGAGAACACGACTAATCAGTTCGACCTGTTTTATCAGCTTCCTCAGGGCCGCGACAAGGAGGTGGAGCGTCAGGAGAACCCTCAGTACCATGCTTACATTGAGAGGGTCAAGAAGAGCGATCTCAGGAAAAGGTTTCGGGCGAAGAGGTTCAGGGAAGCTCGCAGGAGGGCTGAAGAGTCAGTTCAGAAGAAGCCTGCCGCGTCAGTCCACAAGAAGCCGGCCGCGTCAGTCCAGAAGAAGCCTGCCAAGGCCCAGAAGGATCAGAAGAAGCCTGTCGTGGTTCAGAAGAAGCCTGCCGCGTCAGCCCACAAGGATCAGAAGAAGCCTGTCGTGGTTCAGAAGAAGCCTGCAGCGTCAGTCCAGAAGGCCGCGTCAGTCCTTGGAGCAGACAGCAGCGCTCAGGGGAGCGATGACTCTCACAACGGCAGCTACGATGAGCCCCCCAGAGATCAGCCGAAGAGTCAGCTTTTGAGCCGCCTTCAGATTGCAGGCGCCGCGCCTTTCAGGGGCCTCCTCTGAATCCAAGCATAAGTTGTTTTTTTCTAGACGTCTTTTCAGAGCTGGGCGCCTTGCTCAGATCGCAGTCCACGACCAGCTTTCAGTGCTCAGCATCGTTTCGTTTTTCAGCGCTCACAGGACGGTTCTTCAAGCGTTCAGCACGTTTTTTCCTCGTCCAATCGCTATGGCGTTTTCAGCGCTCGCGTTGTCAGCGAGATGGCTTCTTTCTTCAGACGTCAGGCTTTCACCCTTTCACTTCAGACAGCATCGCTGTACACAGGCGCATAATAAAGGAACCAGGAAAACATCAAGAAAAAAGGAGTCCGCTTCTCAGTTCTCAGGTTTCTCAGTTTTCTCAGCCTTCTCAGGTTTCTCAACTTTTCTCTGGTTTCTCAGCTTTCTCACGTTTTTTCAGTTTCTCAGTTTTCTCAGTTGTCTCAGGTATTTCAGCTTTTCTCAGTTTTCTTAGTTTTCTCAGCTTTTTCAAGTTTCTCAGCTTTTCTCAGGTTTCTCAGCTTTCTCAAATTTTTAGTTTTTTTGACTTCTCAGTTTTCTGATTTTTTCACGTTTCTCAGTTTTCCTCAGTTTTCTCAGTTTTCTCAGCTTTCTTACGTTTCTCAGCTTTTCTAAGGTTTCTCAGGTCTTCTCAGGTTTCTCAGTTCTCAGGTTTCTTAGTTTTCTTTTAGATGCAGTAAACGAAAACCTTTAGGACTCTTGAGGAATTCTTACGAATCTTTTGGAATTCTCCAGATTCCTGAGGAATCCTTTGGATTCCTGGGAAATATTCAGGAATCCTTGGACATCCTTTGAATGTTTTATGAATCCTGAGGAATCTGTGTGAATCCTTAGGAATCCGTGAGAATCCTGCGGAACTTGTGTGAAACCTGATGGATCCATTGAGTTCGTTAGGAATCCTCAACAATGCTTCTACTATCATTGCATGAACTTTCTAAGCAGCAAGCGACATCCTGAGTCTTTCATGAGAGCCACGCAGATTTGAATTTCGAATTCCGATCTTGGCCCAGGGGCCAGGCCGCCGCGAATTTGTTTTGTGTCCGGGTGCTAAAGCTATCGTTCGGTTATTTCGGCCCCTCGGAATATCGAATAAAAATGCGGTGCTACGATATCGCCGGGGGGGTTTCTTAAATGCTTCCTGGGGTTACCCCTCCCCCTAACCCCCTCCCCTGGACTTGGACGGGGGGGGGGCGCTGGTAGTTAGAGCGTCCAAAACGGCCTCGGCGAGGAAGCCAAAATCATAGGTTTTACTAGGGTTTTGGCAGGTTTTGGAGGCTCCCGAGGGGGGAGGCTAATTGGGGGACCCCCTTCCTTTGATCGATCACCTCCAAGATGGCCCCAAGAGCGCTCCCAAGGCTCCAAGAGAGCCCCAAGAGGGCCTCAAGAGACGCCCAGGAGGCCCCAAGAGGCGACCAGGAGGCCCCAAGAGGCCTCCAAGAGTCCCCCAAAATACTCCCAAGAGGCCCCCAAGAGGCCCCAAGAGGCTCCCACGAGGCACTCAAGACGGTCCAAGAAGCTCCCGGGACCGCCAAGAGACCCCCAAGACGCCCCAAGAGACCTCAAAGAGTATCCCAAGAGACATCCCAAGAGACTCCGCGAGGCATTCAAGAGGCCTGTGACTCTTCTGATCGTCCTTATCCTCCTCCTCCTCCTCCCCCTCATCATCACCACCACCACCACCACCATCATCATCATCATCATCATCATCATCGTCATCATCATCATCATCATCATCATCATCATCATCATCACCACCACCACCACCACCACCACCACCATCATCATCATCATCATCATCATCATCATCATCATCCTCATCATCATCATCATCATCTTCTTCATCATCATCATCATCATCATCATCATCATCATCATCAGCATCAGCATCATCAGCATCATCACCATCACCATCACCATCACCATCACCATCGTCAAGACCACCACCATAATCGTCATCATCAACATCATCAATATCAACATCAACATCATCATCCGCCTATTCCTCCTCCTCCTCCTCATTCCTCCCTCCCCACCCTTATCATCCTCCTCCTCTTCCGCCTCCGACTCCTCCTCCATCCCCCCCCCTTGGGGTACGACGGCCTCCCCAGCCCCTTGTTCCTCTGTATGCTGCCCCGCTTCCATGATCACCTCTACTCGCCTGGGCGTCGTTTCTGGATGGGCTGGTGGGGATACGCGAAGCGTCAAGAATTGAATCGTCGATCGAGTCGAATTTGGCCCTGCCCCCCGTGGCAGTGACCGAGCTGAAGTCGTACGTAGACGATTTCAGCTCGAACAGTGCCAAGTGGGCCCCCTTGGAAGGTTACTCATCCTTGCCCTCGACCATCGACCTTGATCTTCAAACCTCGACCCTCCCTTGATCCTCGATGGCAACGCTTCTCGATGTCCTCGATCCTCGCTTCCCCCGCTCTCGATCCCTCGCCCTCGATCCTGAAACCTCCCTCGCCCTCGTGCCTCGACCGCCCCCTGCATGGTGAACGCTCACTCTCCGACTTCGGAACAGGCCGAGCACCCCCGGAAAACGCTCTCGGCGGGGCGCAGCCGATGGAGAGCCCCGCTGGGCCCGAAAGCCTGCAAGAGTCAGCGAAAACCTCCGAGCCCCCCCTGAGGGAAGAGCCATCAGCGATGCCGAATCGGATTAGGAGCAAGGCAAAGCGACACTAACACCACCAGCGACCACCAGCCATGGAAGCGCGCCAGGGGCGGCGCCGGCAACGCCGCCAGGGGGGTCCCAACGCAGATCCAAGAAATCCGCGCGGAGCTTGGAACATTGATGTTCCAGCCGTGCTTTCTGATTCGATCCTCCTCCCCTGAGCATCGATTATCCGGGCCTTCTCCCCAACGGCGTGGCCCGGGCCCACTGGCCGATTTACCCGCCCAGATGGGGATATACGCCGTTTCCTTTGGGTCTCGAGGGGTATATCCCAACCTGGGAGGGTTTGATATTGGAAATCTGGATCGGGATGGAGATAGAGATCGGTTAAGCGATACTGAATTCCAGGATTTCCAACAAATGATTTGCGGCCCTGGTTTCTGCAGCCCCTCTGGGACATTAGCGAATCTGAGAGATCCTGGAAACCTTGGACCGTGTCGTTCTCGTAACCTCTTGCTTCTCTGAGTGCTGAAGAGGGGGTCGAACTATCCACCGAGGCGTCTGGTCGGCCAGGGTGCTCGATGTACAGACGCCCCAGCTTTTCGTACCGATCCCCCCGACGGATCGATCGGATCGCCAATGGGCCCTGGGTGGTGGCTCCCCCCCCCGTGGCGCTGCCCCGGGGCTGAAGTCGTAGACGACGACGAGGGAGATGCCCGGGACGTCCAGGCCGCGTGCCGCGACGTCCGTGGCCACCAGGACGGCCTGCTGTCCGGCCGCCACCTTTCCAGGCCTCCCACGTGGGGCCCCAGTGGATCCCTCTCCTCCTCCGCCCAGTCCCCTCCTCCTCGTCCTGCCACTCCTCCCCTTCCTCATCCTCCTCTGACTAATGTTTCTCCTCCTCCCTGTCCCCCTCCCCCTCCCCCTCCCTTTAGCCTCCCCCCTCCTTCTCCTCCTCCTCAAATTCAAGCACAATAGTTTCGCGAAGATGGTCGTGCAGCTTCGGATTTACTTGAATAGCGTGCAATATAACTCACAACAACAATTGAGTCGGTAAAGTGAGTGCAGTAAAGCAGACTCGAGTACATTAGGCTAGAGTAGAGTAGAAGCAGGGTGGCAGAGTAGGAGGAGGGTAGAGAAAGGCCCTTCAACCTTGGGATCTATTTGGAGTCTGCTTGGTGATACTCGGCCCAACGATGGCTGCTGGACAAAGAAACGGAGAAGGGGGGGGCACCTCGACCAAAACACGCTACTTACTCCGCGCGGGGCACTTGCTGCACAACCGCCCTGTGTCCATGGGGTCGTGGCGCGGCCCAGGGGCCTGGCCCGCGAGGCCACGGTCGGGATTCCGGGGCGCGACCCTCTGGATACTCGGCCGTATGGACACGCTCCGCGAGGGGTGTCCGCGAACCGAGCGTCCCGTGTTCACTGGGACGTGTGGCAACACGGAGGCAGCCAACGCGGGGCGAAGAAAGAGGCACCCGCCGTGCACCTCTTGGGCGAAAGGTGGCGCCGTTCATCGGGGGCGCACAAACATGGATTAGCGATCCATGGACTTGGCGCGCGGTCGCCAGATCCATGGATCGGAGGAGGTGCCCTCCCCAAACTGCGGCTGGCGCCGCCTCGTTCGGCGGCGGACATCCTTGACTTCCCCTGGAAACGGGACCCGTCGCAACTGCCCGCCCCCTTGATCCCTGTTTGCGATCACCTGAGTTTGGGACGCCCCATGGCCACGTTCCTGCAGCCCTCGGTCCCCCCCACATGTGTTCCCCCCCCCCGTGGCCGTGCGCGCGGTCCGTGGGGTCGCGGCGCGGCCCCGCGAGGCCGTGGATGTGGACATGAATTGGGAGTCCCGAAGCGGTGCAGGGACAGACCGTGACGGACAGTGCGGTGGCCTCGAAATCCCCCAAAACCTCACCGCACGGTCCGTCAACGCACGGTTTTGGGACCTCAGATGCCCCAATCGCCCGAGACGACATCGAAGAACGACCCGAGTCCCAAAACCGTGCGGTGACCCCGAACCCCCACCGACTCACCACACGGTGTGGTCACCACCCCGTTTGGGGCCCCCCGAATGATATTCGCCCACCTTGGCGCGGAACTGGCCGAGCATCTCCTCACGCTCCCACTGCTCCTCTCGGGGGCACGCTCGAGCTTGGGCAGCCAAGGGCGAACGCTACCCCTGCAAGTCGGACTTTTGAAGCTCTGGCGTGAGTTTCTCCACCGCCGAGCCCTGTGCACGTTGGGGCGTGCTAGGATGCTCCCCTGTTGCCTGGTGAAGGATCTTTACCGTTTCCGAGGTCCTGCCCCATCCCCTAAGCGCGCCCCCCTAGAAAAGGGGGTTACTTCTCGACGCTCTGTTCGGCCTCCAGGCGGCGCCAGGACAACTAAGGGGATCCAAGATGACCTCAATATGCCTCCAAGGTGGTGCAATATGCTGCGGAAACAACCCAAGACTGCCCCAATGCAGTCAAAGAGGCCTCCGATACAGCCCAAGATGGCTCCAAGAGGTCCTTCAGGCGGGCCCGAAGAAGCCTTCAAGTGGTTTCTTATTGTGGTTCGCGCTCCCGCCCTTCTCGCTTACAGCAGCCAAAGGTGGCCCCAGAGGCCTCCATGACTGGCTGAGAGGGCCCCAAGGCAGCCAAAGAGGCATCCAAGAAGGCCCCCTCCGAAAGCATCAGACGGGCCAAAAGGCCCCCAATACGGGCCAAGAGGTCCCTGAGGCAGCCCAAAAGGCTCCAAGAGCCCTTCGAGACGGGCCCCAAGACGGCCTACGAGACCCCAAAGAAAACCCCCGACAAAAAGCCCCAAACCGGCCCTAGAGACCGCCATGACAGCACGAAAGCGCCCCAAGAGGATCCCACGACGGCCCGAAAACACCTGAAAATGGTCCCAAGGCAGCCCAGAGAGGCCCCCCAAGACGGCATCCGACGGGCCAAGAAAGGTCTAAGACGGCCCCAAAGCCCCCACGACGAACCAAGAGGTCTCAAAGACGCCCTCCATGAGGCCTGACAGGCTGCCAAGAGGCCCCCTGAAGTCAAGGGAACGAGGCCGAGTTTAAGACCCGCGCGAGCTGAGGTCGCGCCCTGAATTGCAGTTGGTATTTGACATAACCAACTCCCTTCACGATGCTCTGCTGCGCTGGCACAGTGGCGGGGTTTGCCGCATGCATGCAGATGGATCGTCTGAAGGATGTCTGCAAACAAATGGAGCCCAACGGAATGTCTGATACAGCAGCACCCATTGGATCCGCAGGGGACGGGTTCGCAAGTGGTCACCAAACTCTGAACAAGAGAGACCCTTGGCGAACAGCACACCGATCGCTGCACTCGATGCGGCAGTTGCGACCCGCGCGCTTGGGTTGATATTTCAGCGCCCCCCGGAACGACGATCACCAAAAGGTCACTGCGGCGAAGGGTCACTCTTTTACGTGCGGCCGATCCTTGTCACCATGAAGGGCCCGGCACCAGATTCCTTTGAAATTATCCTGCATCTTCTGCTCAAGAAAATCACAGGCACCCTTCGTCGAGGCGAAGACGACCGCGCTTTCCTTTGGCCCGAAGCTTTGCTTGATGTAGCCCTGCAGCGCCGAAACTTTCTGCTTGAACTCGGCCATGACCACCTGATGCGTCACATTCTTGTTCAGAGTGAGCTTGTCCCCCCCGGCGCCCTGGCCGATGCGAACCTGCACGGCCGCCTTGCTCGTGAGACTGGCGGCGCTGGCCTGCACCTTCTTCGGCCAGGTCGCGGTGAAGAACAACGTCTGCCTCCGGGTGCCGCCGCGAGCTCCGCCGGCACCTCCGCCCTCCTCCGGCGCGCCGACCTTCGGGCACTGTGCGACGATCTCACGGATGGCAGGCTCGAAGCCCATGTCGAGCATCTGGTCGGCCTCATCGAGCACAAGACTCGCCGGGCCCCCAGTACGGGTCCTTGGGCTGCGTCCTGCGATGTGTCTCCCGCAGCCGGGAATCGCGGCAACCTGCCCAGCTGTGCTCTGCACCCAGGCTAAAACTCATTGCCCAAGATGCTGAAACTGACTGCAGTGGGTCGGCGGTCCTAAGGCCACGACTCTGTCTCTCTCTCTCTCTCTCAATCTCTCGCTGTTTGTTTGATCTGTCTCCTGTATATAAACTGGTATCACCCTTTCTCTCTCTCTCTCTCTCTATGTCTCTCTTTCTGTTGTTCTGAACATCTATGGGTCTATGCTCCGCAACACACGATGCGTCATAATTTGAATGGGTCCGAATGGTCAAGGCCGCAACCAAACGAACAAACACAAAAAAACACAGCGTCTGCGCTGCCAGAGTCACGACCCCTTGTTCAACAAAGTTCGGGCACAACGGGACCCCACGCCGCAGATGCTCATGGTGCGTACTCCTACTTGCTGCCTCTTGGGCTTATCCTCGCGCCTCTTGGGGCCTCTCTCGGGGTTCTTTGCTTGTGTAATCCAGACTCCTCTGGCACGCTGGTACGTATTGGGGCCTGTTGGCAACTCTCCTTGTGACGTCTGGACACCCACTCTGTAGCCCCCTCTACAAGGCCTCTTGTGCGGCGAAGTTGCATCGGCCCGTGTTTGGGCGTCCGCAGGGCTCTCTTGGGTCATCTTTTGGGGCCCACGCGAGGGCTTCCGAATCCATCTTCTTGGAGGCCTGGAAATGGGCACCAACACCAACACAAGGGGTTGCCTCCACAGGGGGAAGATGCTCCTTTGGTGGTAATATGTCGGCCACCTTGGAAGCCAGAATATTGCCACCATCACCGAGATCGGGATCTTCTTCCCTCGGTGGAGGCACACCGCCGAAATCGGTGTTGGTGTCAACCTCGAGGCCTGCGACACTCATTTGAAAGGGTGTTGTTCTTACCCGCGGAGCTGGATGGATACGCCGATATTTCGTCGGGTGCCCGCCCGTGGGCGCCTCGTGGGGTGATCGGCCGGAGAATCGACGGGTACATCGGCCTCCCTGGAGGAGGAGGAGAGAAGAGGCTAGGTCTGACAGAACATCATGCATCCTGCTACCTTCAGTGCAACCCAAGAATGTCTGCGTCCAACCTGGGTGCAGCAACATTTCGTCCCGAATCGTTTTCAAGTAATGCAAGGGCCCGCGAGGGCCCGCGGCAGGCCACAAACAAAACGGCAGAATCTGCAGGACCCCTTGCCCTCAGGACCCGCGTGTGGATGAGAGGACAGTGCCGATAGCGCTACTCCCCAAACATCTCTCAACGCCACTGTGACGAGGACTCCACTGACGGGTACTTTGGCCAGCGACCCGGCGAACCCAACCCTAAAGATGTCTTTAAATGGGGAACTTTCGGCAAATCTCCAAAATACCCGTTGGCAAATACCCGCTACGGTGACTCTCCGAGGGGCCGTTGTGACCGGGGTTCCGAGGCGAGTCCAGCCGTGGCGACGAAGGGAGGCACTTCGCGGAATCGGTAACGTTCCCTCCTCTGAGTCTGCTTCGTTGTGACCCTCTCGCCTCCAAGGCCTACCAAGGCCTACCCTCACCCCTGGGGCCTGGAGATCCGAATAAGGACCCGCGAGCTGCAATGCTGGCCCAAGAGTTATACAACTAAAGCGAGCAGATGGGCCAACACACAATGCATGTCTGAGCGGTCCAAGACCTATGGAGGCACGTGTCTCCGCACCGCGCGAATAGTAAAAGCCAACGAGACCAAGCGAAATGACAACGAATTGGCCGCCTTCTGCGCTGGGGTGGGGGGGAAGAATAATGCATCTCTCGCGCCCGAGAGCGCCGTTCCATGCTTAAAACAAGGCTAGGATCGGGATAAATCGCTCCAAAGCGTTGCGTTCCGGAGCCAGAGCGTTCCGGAACACTCTGGAGCGGCCGCGGCGCCCAATACATCCTCCAAACCCGCCGATTCTCAGAGATTTCGAGTTATCCCGATCCGATTTTGTCCCGATCTTCGCGTCGTTTTACTCTCGCCCCCGAGAGCGCCGTTCCATGCTGCCCCCCAGCCCAAGAGAGAGGACGGGGGGGAGGGGAGAGGGGGGGTCTGAACTGGATGGGCACCGAGAAAATCTGTCAACATGAAAGATATACAGTCGGGGCGTTGACCTAAGGAACCCTAAATAAGGAACGAGGCCCCTTTTTTCCATAAGTTAAACTTCGATTTCCGATCGAAAACCTAAGGAAAATCCAAGGCAAGCTGCGAAACACTTGAGGAACACGGAGCCCCTCCCCAACGAAAAGGGTTCCTTCTTTAGGGCCCCGACTGTAATGCATCTCTCGCGCCCGAGAGCGCCGTTCCATGCTGCCCCCCAGCCCAAGAGAGAGGACGGGGGGGAGGGGAGAGGGGGGGTCTGAACTGGGGAGGGGGAGGGAGGGAGGGGGGAGGGAGGGGAGGGGGGGAGGGGAGGGAGGGGAGGGAGGGGAGGGAAGAATGATGCATCTCTCGCCCCCGAGAGCGCCGCTCCATGCTGCCCCCCAGCCCAAGAGAGAGGACGGGGGGAGGGGGGGGGAGGGGGGGTCTGAACTGGATGGGCCCCGAGAAAGTCTGTCAACATGAAAGATATATGAAGGGGCCCCAGGACACACAAATAAATACACACATATCAAAGGATTCCCCATATGTTCCCATATTTCCTGGGTTTCTGTCTTCCCCCCCACTTTCCCATATTTTCCTATATTTTCTGGGGGATCGACGATTAATTGTGTCTGTGTTTTTTCCCTCCTGAAAGATATAGCAGATCACCTCACCGTCGGGCCCCAAATCCCTCCCAGGCCCCATCCGGTGCAAGCCAGAAGAGCTTGAAGCGAACTGGTAACGGTGAACCCGCGGCTCCTGCAAACGAAACGCCCAAATCGGAGCCAAAACCGGACCGACTGAAACTGAACCGGCTGATTCGAACCGAACCGGCCGATCGAAACCGGCCCGAACGGTCACCCGAACCGGTGGAACCGAACCAGCCTGCCAAATAGGCCCACAGGACGGCCCAAAAGGGACCAAGACGGGCTCCGTAAAGTTCCAGCGGCCGACGGCTCCAGGAGGGCTCCAGCCCAAGAGGGCCCCCAGAGGCTCCCCAGAGAGCTCCGAGACGCCCCCCCGACGGATCCTACAACATAGGGGTGCGTTGTAGCATCCGTTGCGGCCCTGCAACGAAACGGCGCAAGAGAGCTCCGCCAGGGCGCTCCCAGAGGATCTAAAGAGGGCCTCCCCCCAGAAAGCTCGGAGGTGGCCCCCCGACGGAAGGCCTCGGCGAGCCGTTTTCGGGCCTCTGGACCTGGGACCTGGGGCCCGGACCTGAGGTCCAGACCTGAGGTCTGGACCTGAGGTCCGGACCTGAGGTCCGGACCTGAGGTAGATGGACCTGAGGTCCGGACCTGGACTTCTGATCGCCGCCATTTCCTCTCCTCCTCCTCCTCCTCCTGCTCATGTTTTTTGGGGAATGGTTCGATCCGCGGCCGCAACACGCAACACCTGTAACGTACTGCTCGCCAACCTTTCGATCGGCCGAACCGGACCGCCCTTAACCGAACCGTCCCGAGGCAAAACCAAGCTGGCTCAAACCGAACTCGAACCGCTACAACCGAACCGGCCCGGTGCCGAACCGAGCCGAACAGGCCCTCCCAGGCTCCATCAGGTGCAAATTGTCACTCCGGGTCCGTTCTCTTGACAGTCCTAGGGCCCGAAAGCGGCCCCTGGAGGCAGCAAAAGGCAAAGCACCTTCTCGAACCCCAGAACCTCCTGCTCGACGGCACCAGTGCTGGGCCACCTCAAACCCCCAGCCCGCTCCATGGATTAGGTCGGGTCTGTCCCCCTACAGGGAGAATATGGACGAAAAATAGAACTTGCCAGAAATATTTGAAACATGAAAAAAATCTAAACATCGTCCCCAGACTATTTTTCAGAGCTATCTTTGAATATTCCTCCTGAGCAGGGACAGGCCCGACTCGATTCAACGAGGGACTCGTCGCTTTTGCAACGACGCACTGATTCGGGGGCTCCTCCCGCACCGCGCGGCGCGGTGCCGGAGGGCGCCCACTGCGGCGATGCTGCTGCCCACAGGAGGCTGTTTCTGTTTCTGTGGGAGTCTGGCAAGCTTGCTCGAACGGGAGGGGGGGAGCGCGGCGAGGCCCAGAAGGAGATCTGGCCCTCACGCACATCGGGGCTCGCTTGCACGCCTCTTCGGCACGGCGCTGCTTAACACGGCGGCGGGGAGCCTGGGGAATGCCATGCAAGTAAACTGGCCAAAATCCAACTACAAATGCGCTCCAATCCTGATCCTGGCGAAAGGGAAACCAACTACAAATCTGAGACAACTCGGCAAATTTCAACATCCTGGGGCCCTTGCTGGACTCTGGGACCGTCCACATCGCGACTGGGGAGACCCGGCCCCCTGGAAAAAGGTCCAGTCCTCTGGGGAGCACACATCGAGCCGTCGGATGTCTGGAGCAGTGACTGAGCTCAGGGCTTCTCCCTCTATTCCTCAAGTACTCCGGATCTCATAACAATGGGGGGGGGTCTGCTTCTGGGGGGGGGGTCTCACGGGCTTCGTCAAACACATTTGTGGGGGGGTCTCGATTTTGGACCTTTTGTTGCCTGTCTGGGGGGGGGGGTCCCAGACCGGCCGTCAAACACTTTTTTGATCCCCCCCCCTACTATTATGAGATTTGGAGTAACTGGTTTGGCGTGGCGGGGGTTCGCCTGGTGGGCGGATCGTGGGCGCCTCGTGGGCGCCCCGTCCGCTGGATGGCTGTGCCGAGGTCTCGCGCCGTGGGCGCCCAGTGTGTTTGAAGGGGCCCCAGGACACACAGACAAGAACACACAAATAAAAAGACTCCCCACATTTCCCCATATATTCTCGGGGTTTCTGTCTTCCCCCCCACGCCCCATATTTTCTGGGGAATCGAGGATGAATTGTGTCTGTGTGTTTTTTCCTCTCCTGATTTCGGGGAGACGTAAGACCCGGGTACGGGGGACTCGGGTTGGCCCGACGAGGTCGTCAAAAAAATGACGAGGCCGAGCCTGCATTTTGACGAGGCCTCCCGCTGCAGACATCCCACGAAACTCCTCCTCGTCAAAATCCGAGGCGCGGTCGTCCACAAACGATGGCGAACCCGAGTCCTGGCAAACCCGGGTCTTACGCTCCCCCGATGAGTGTTTGTGTCCAGGTTTTGCCCTGTGGCCGGCGTCGGCGCCTCGTGGGGCCCACCACACAGCAGCTTCCACCCCATGCCGTATTGCACCACACACGGTCGGGGCGTTGACCTAAGGAACCCTAAATAAGGAACGAGGCCCCTTTTCTCCATAAATTAGCCTTCGATTGCCGGTCGAAAACATAAGGAAGGCCTGAGGAAAGCTGTGAAACACTTAAAGAACGCGGAGCCCCTCCCCAACGAAAAGGGTTCCTTCTTCAGGGCCCCGACTGTAGCCTGCAACGCATGCTCTGGATCGCGTACGCTGCACCGCCAAGTTTCCCAGACATCCGACGTCTCGATTTTTTCGAGACACGGGCCCCCGACCTCCCGACCACTTCCCCGGGGCCAGTTCTTCATCCCGAGTCGTTCTGTGAATGTCCCGGGGCCAGGCGAGGGCCCCGGGAGGTCACAAACTATGCAAAACCTCCGTCTCGATGTTTTGAGATGCCCGATGCCTGGGTTATGCGTATCTCGCATCTCGAACAGCAGAGAGTGCTCACATTACCCTGCGACAGGTATGTACATCCCACGTCGGGGAGCACACGCGCCTGCGGTTGGGGGTCCACACGCGCAGATACGGTACATGTACATGCATACCAAGGTGCTACGATGCACGCACAAGTCCCAGCATGCCCAATATTTTGCCGTATTGCCTGGGTTCTCGTCTTGCCCCCCACTTCCAATATTTTCCTATATGTTCCTGGAAAGCGACGATTAATAGTGTGAGTGTGTGTTTTTTTCCCCTCTTGATGCTTCGTGGACATATCAAAGTGGGCATGTCTCATAAACAGCGCGAGCCAACGAACTTGAAGAAATCAAGCACTTTTCCAAGACGGGCCCTCAGTTCCGCACAGCGCCTCAACGGGACCCGCTGGAAGTTCAGCTGCGCCTCCCATCGCCTCCCATGACACCTCGGGATCTCTCAGGATCTCCCAAGAACGCTCTCCGAGCCCCCCCCCCACGAGCCTCCCAGAGGACCTCTTCTTGGGATTCCCCTGTGCCACCCTCACAGGGCAGTCCAGAGATCCCATGTGTAAACCTAACAGGCCCCAGAATAGACGCTCACACTGCGCCACGACATCTCGAAAACTGCCCCAGGATCCCCCAAAAATTTACGCGAAATTGCACGCCAGGGCCACAAGACTGCTCTGATAACTGCACAACGAGCTGACGTCAAGCCACGAGACAGTCAGAAGGTGCGGGGCTGGCAGCTGAAGACGGAGCCCTTTCGGATAAGTAACCCCCTCCAGCACGATCGAAGGCGAGAGGCCTCGCTTCTTTGGCGCCGCGCACGGCGGGGTGGCGCGAGGGGGCTGGCCTCTTCAAGAAGGCGGCGCGCTCCTTAGCGGGCAAGGGCCTTCTCAGCAGGGCCTCTTCAGACGGCTCCTTGAGAAACCTGGAGGAGGAGGAAGAGGAGGATGAGGAGGAGGAGGAGGAGGGGGAGGGGGAGGAGGAGGAGGAGGGGGATGGGGAGGGAGGAGGCGGAGGAGGGGAGGAGGAGGAGGAGGAGGAGGAGGAAAAGGAGAAGGAGGAGGAGGAGGAGGACGAGGAGGAGGAAGAGGGCTTCTGAGAAGGCCCCCCTGCCTCCTCGGCCCCCCCGCCGTCTCAGAGGGCCGCCCCTCCTCGCGCCGCCCCCTCGCGCGCGCCGCCACGCTTCGGGTCGCCCGCGCACAGGTCGTTCAGGCGCCCCGGCGTGGCGATGACGATGTCCGCCCCCTGCTTCAGCTCGCCGACCTGAGGGCCCTTCGGCGTGCCCCCGTAGAGCACCTTCGCAGGAAGGCTGGGACCGGTGCGGGAGTTCCGACGAACCCCTCCTGAAACCTTCCTGCGGAAGGTGTTAGGAAGGTTTTTTGGAAGGTTTTCGGGGGGGGGGAGGGGGGCGAGGAAGGTTTCAGGAAGGTTTTTTTTGTTTTTGTTTGAAAAACCTTTCAACAAGCTTCCGACAACCTTCCCGAAACCTTCCAAACAACATTCCTGAAATGAGCGAAACCAGCAAATACTTGCCAAAAGCCTTCCAAAACAAACCTTCCAAAAACCTTCCAAACAACCTTCCAAAAACCTCCCCAAAAACTTCCAAACAACCTTCCCAAAACCGTCCAACAACCTTCCTAAAAACCTTCCAACAACCTTCCAAAGGCAGGTTTCAGGAGGGGTTGGCCCAAAAACCTTCCTAAAACCTTCCCGAGGAAGGTTTTTAAAAAGGTTGTTTTGGAAGGTGTTTGGACAAACCTTCCTGGAACCTTCCTAAAACCTTCCTCAGGAAGGTTTTTGGAAGGTTTTGGGGAAAAAACCTTTCCGGAACCTTCCTTAAACCTTCCTCAGGAAGGTTGTTGAAAGGTTTCTGGAAAAAAAAAAAAAAAAAAAAAAAAAAACCTTCCTGGAACCTTCCGAAAACCTTCCTCAGGAAGATTTGGAAGGTTTTGGGGAAAAAACCTCACTGAAATCTTCCTAAAACCTTCCTCTGGAAGGTTCTTGGAAGGCTTGAAACCGTCCCAAAACCTTCCTCCGGAAGGTGTTTGGAAGTTGATTTTGGAAAAAAAAACCTTCCTCAAACCGTTCTAAAACCTTCCCCGGGAAGGTTTTTGGCACGTTGTTTGGAAAAACCTTCCTGGAATTTTCCGAAAACCTTCCTCAGGAAGGTTGTTGGAAGGTTTTTGGAAAAACAACCGTCCTGACACCTGTCTAAAACCTTCCCCAGGAAGGTTTTTGGGAGGTTTTTGGACAAACCTTCCTGGAACCTTCCCAAAAAACTCCCTCAGGAAGGTTTTTTGGGACGTTTTTGGGACAAACCTTCCTGGAACCTTCCTAAAAGCTTCCTCAGGAAGGTTTTGAAAAGGTTTTTGGACAAACCTTCGTGGAACCTTCCTAAAACCTTCCTCAGGAAGGTTGTTGGAAGGTTTGTGGGGAAAACCTCACCGGAACCTCCCTAAGACCTTCCTCAGGAAGGTGTTTTGGAAGGCTTTTGGGGAAAAGCTTCCTGGAACCTCCCTAAGACCTTCCTCGGGAAGGTTTTTGGAAGGTTTTGCGGAAAAAAACACTCTGAAACCTTCCTCAGGGAGGTTCCTGGAACTTTCCTGGAACCTTCCTGAAACCTTCCGGATACCTTCCTGGAACCTTCCTGGAACCTTCCTGATACCTTCCTCAGGAAAGATGTTGTAAGGTGTTTGAGGAAAACGTTCCCGTAACCTTCCTGAAACCTTCCTCCGAAAGGTTGTTGGAAGGTTGTTGGGAAGAACTTCCTGGAACCTTCCTAAAACCTTCCTCTTGTAGGTTTCTGGAAGGTTTTGGGAACACCTCCCTGACACCTTCTTGAACCCTTCCTCAGGAAGGTTTGTTTGAAAAGTTTGGTTTGGACAAGTCTTCCTGGAACCTGCCTAAAACCTTCCTCAGGAAGGTGTTTGGCAGGCTGTTTGGGGAAAAACCTTTCTGAGACCTTTATCAAACCGTCCCCGGGAGGGTCGTTGAAATGTTGGTTTGGAAAAACCTCCCTGGAACCTACCTAAGACCTTCCTCGGGAAGTCGTTGGAAGGTCTATGGAAAAAAACCGTCCTGAAACCTTCCTAAAACCATGTTCAGTAAGGTTTTTGTTTGTAAGGTGTTTGGACCCACCTCTTTCCTGAAACCTTCCTAAAACCTTCTTCGGGAAGGTTTTGAAAAGGTTTTTGTGGAAAGACATTCCTAGGGCCTTCCTAAAACCTTCCCCAGGAAGGTCGTTGGAAGGTTTTGGGGAAAAAAACCTTCCTGGAACCTTTTCTAAAACCTTCCTCAGGAAGGTTTCTGAAAGGTTTGTTGGACAACAACCTGACTGGAACCCTCCTAAAACCTTACTCAGGAAGATGTGTGCAAGGTTTTTGGGACAAGCCTTCCTGGAACCTTCCTAAAACATTCCTGAGGAAGGTTTTAGGAAGGTTGTTGGTGAAAACCTTCCTGGAACCTTCCTAAAACCTTCCTCAGGAAGGTGGTTGGTATGTTTGTTAGCGAAAAAACCTTCCTGAAACCTTCCTAAAACCGTCCTGCGGAAGGTTGTTGGGAGGTTTTGGGAAACGCCGTCCTGAAACCTGCCTAAAACCTTCCGCAGGAAGGTTGTTGGAAGGCTTCTGGGAACAACCTTCCTGGAAGGCTGCTGGAGGAAAAAAACGCACTGGAACTTTCTAAAACCACCCCCAGGAAGGTTTTTGAAATGTTGTTGGGGAACACCTTCCTGACACGTTTCTAAAACCTTCCTCCGGAAGGTCTTTGAATATATATATATATATATATATATATATATATATATATATATGTGTGTGTATATATATATATATGTTGGGAAAACCTTCCTTGGAACATTCTTTAAAACCTTCCCCAAGGAGGTGTTGTTGGAAGGTGTCGGGAAAACCGTTCTGAAACCCTCCTTAAACCTTCCGCAGGAAAGTTGTTGGACGTTTTTTTTTGGGGGGGGGAAAAGGCGTCCTGGAACCTTTCTAAAAGCTTCCTCAGGAAGGTTGTTGTAAGGTTTTTCTCGTTGGACAAACATTGATGGAACCTTCCTAACACCTTCCTCAGGAAGATGTTTTGGAAAGCGTTTGGGAAAAACCTTCCTCGAACCTTCCTAAAACCTTCCGCACGAAGGTGTTTGGAAGGTTGTTGGACAAACCTTCCTGGAACCTCCCTAAAACCGTCCTCAGGAAGGTTTGTGGAAGGTTTTTGAGGAAAACCTCCCTGGCACCTTCCTAAAGCATTGCGCAGGGAGGTTGTTCGAAGGTTTTTTGGACGACGAACCCTCCTGGCACCTTCCTAAAACCTGCCTCAAGAAGGTTGTTGGAAGGTGTTGGGAAAAACCTTATGAAACCGTCCTATAACCTACCGCAGGAAGGTGTTTGGAAGGCTTTTGGGAAAAACCTTCCTGCAACCTGCCTACCAACTTCCCCAGGAAGGTTTTTGGAAGGCTTTTGGGAAACCCCTTTCCTGAAACCTTCCTAAAACCTTCCTCGGGAAGGCTGTTTGGACGGTTTTTGTTTGGAACAACCTTCCTGGAACCTTCCAAAAACCTTCCTCAGGAAGGTCATTGGAAGGTTTTTGGGAAAACCTTCCTGAAACCTTCCTAAAACCTTCCTCCGGAAGGTTTTTGGAAGGCTTTGGGCAAACCTTCCTGGAACCTTCCCTAAAACCATCCTCAACCTTCCTAAAAGTTTCCTGCAACCTAAAAGCTTCCTCAGGAACGTTTTTTGGAAGGTTGTTGGAAGGTTGTTGGGAAAAAACCTTCCTGGACCCTTCTAAAACCTTCCGCAGGAAGGTTTTTAGAAGGTTTTTGGAACAACAACTTCTTGGAATCTTCCTAAAACCTTCCTCGGAAAAGGTGTTCGAAAAAATGTGTTTGAAAGGTTTTCGGAAAAACCTTCTTGCAACCTTCCTAAAATCTTTCTCAGGAAGGTATCCGGAAGGTTTTCGGAAGGTTTGTTGATAAAACCTCCCTGAGACCTTCCCAAAACCTTTCTCGGGAAGGTTTTTGGAAGGCTTTTGGGAAAAAGCCTTGCTGAAACCTTCCTAAAATGTTCCCCAAAAAGGTTTTTGGAAGGTTGTTTGTTTGCAAAAACATGTCTGGAACCTTCCTAACACCTTCCTCGGGAAGGTTTTTGGAAGGTGGTGAAAAACAGACCTTCCTGCAACCTTCCTAAAACCTTTCCGCAGGAAGGTTTTTTGAAGGTTTTTCGGGAAACGCTTTCCTGAAGCCTTCCTAAAACATTCCTCAGGAAAGTTTTCTGACAAACAACCTTCCTGGAACCTTCCTAGTGCCTTCGTCGGAAAAGTTTTCTTTGAAAGGTTTTTGGGAAGCTTTAGGAACAAACCTTCTTGCAACCTTCCGAATACCTTCCTCAGGAAGGTTTCCGGAAGGTTGTTGGAAAGTTTTCGGAGAAAAAAAAAAAAAAAAACTCACCTGGCGCTGCCTTGGAGACGGAGGTTTCCAGGACACGGAGGTTATTGACTACAGGGTGTTGTCGCGTAGACGGAGACAACTGAGTACAAGGTGGTGCGTGCCACAAAAAAGGCGAACCGGCGCGCGGGCGGCAGAGCGGGAGACGGCGGGCGGGAGCCGGCGCGCGGCCGGCGGGCGACCAGGCGGGGATTGTAATAGACTCCTTAATGATCTTCCCCTGCAGCGGAAGCCCGTTGAAAACTTGGCGTTGTCTTGGAGATGGAGGCTGTTGACTACAGGGTGTTGTCTTGGAGATGGAGGCAGTTGGGTACAAGGTGGTGCATGGCACAACGAGGGCGGGCGGGCGGGCGGGCGGCCGGCGGGCGGGCGGGGCGGCGGGGCGGGCTGGGATTTTAATAGACTCCTTACTGATTCTCTCTTGCAGCAGGAGCCTGTTGAATAATGGGTGTTGTCTTGGAGACGGACTCTGTCGACTACAGGGTGTTGCCGTGTAGACGGAGACAGTTGATTACAGGGTGGCGCGTGCAACAAAGATCGCTGACTACAGGGTGTTGTTTTCGATACGGAGACAGTTCAGTACAGGGTGGCGCGTGCTACAGAGAAACCATTCGGTCGGGCAGGCGGGCGGCGGGCGGGCGGGCGGGGATTTGAATCGACTCCTTAATGAATTCCTTTTGCAGCGGGAGCCCGTTGAATATTGGGCGCTGTGACTCCAAGAGGGCGTCAAAGTCGCAACATGGCCTCCAAGATGGCCCAAAATACGTCCGTATGGGTCAAGATAGCCGCCGACATGTATCCAAGAGGCTCCGAATCAGCTCCCATATGGATCCAAGTGCCCTTCGAGCTCTCT